AAGCCTGGACCCCCCCCCCCCCTCGCCCTAACTGTCGCACTGGCCACCCTCAATTTTTTGTTAAAAAAAACAATACATATATCCTGAAAAAAAGTCCCAGACAACTGCCGAAGTAGTGATTCCGAGTGGTTCCGGCGTGTCCTGCCTAAATTCAAATTAAGCGGTGACTTAGTTTCAGCCAATCGGCTCCTCTCTTTACCCATCCTGATGTATTCTGAATAAATAGAGCCAAACCGGCACTACCTAGTGCCCGTGTGTTCCTTGGCAGATCAGCAAAACAACACAGGAAATGTGTCATTCAATAATAATTTTTCTTGTTTCACTAAGCTCTTCCAAATTTCTTCGACATTTTTCCTGTGCAGTTTTGTTGTGAGGCAAAATGTTTCTACGGATTTAGGTATGTTTCCTTAGAAATCTTACAACCACCTAGTGCGACAAGAAAAAAAAAGGGGAAAAAAAAAGCTGCCGTTGGCTCACCTACTAATCATTATTTTATTAATATATTACTAACGATATTTTTAATTTTTTGTTTCAGGAAAACATCTGATACTTGTAACTGATCCTGAAAAAGGTGGTGACTTCGCATTTGACAACCCAGGATTCAGAGGTAATCACCTTAATTGTAATAGAGTACTCTACGTTGCCATTACATTTAATTATTTCGAAGTCAAAGACGCATCACCATACACGCATAACTATACACCCACCACAAAAACATATGTCAAACGCTATTGTATTAAATAGTTTTTTCATGGAGAAGCACGAAAAGTCCTGATGTCTCATCATTTTTAGCCGGAGTTTTCTGACTATTAAATCAATTTATTTATTTTGAATATTTGTTGTGGTTTAATTTTATTCGCACACAATGAAATTCCAGTCGGCTTAAAATTGTCGTATTCATGACAAAAGGGACTGTGCGCATAAATAAATGGACGTATTTCTGCCAAACGGAACTATATGGATCAAGAAATGAGCCCTGAGACCCATTAGAATACATGCGCATAACAGGGCTCACGTCATAATGCACTTAGTTCTGTGTGGCAGAAATACGTCCAAATTGAATCAAAATGAACCGCATGCTTAGGATTTGCATATTTCAAAGTCCATCTTGATTTAATGCATTCATTCATAGTTTCTTTTAGTTTAGGGCGAAGGGGTAAGGTCCTTTAGATGTTGCCAAATTTCCTCTGATAAAACATAAATTTTCAGGGAATTCTGCGAACATTTTTCCTTGAATTTTTTAGATAAATTGATTCGCGACTAGGTGTAAATCATCCAAAAATTTCAAGAGAAAATATTCATAACTCTCCTCTGAAAGAAACATTCTATCGGAGAAAATTTGGCAACTCTTGAACGTTCGCACAGAGTTTTTCCTTAGCACGGAAGAATGTGCTGAGCACCCAGTGCTCTGCCTGGTCGTAAAGCATCCTCAAACACTTTATTTAAAGATTTACAACTTACGTATACCATCTTCCTGGTTCGATAATGATGAAGGTACCCGCTATGCGTTGTCCTTAAAAATATCTTACGCTTCGTCGGCAACATGTTGACTTTGTAATCAAAATATTTTATGAGAATGTGGGTGATTCCAATTACCTGTTGAGCAGCATTAAGGATAAATCACAATAAAAGTCCCACAGATGTTGCCCTCTAAGTATTTGCTCGGGTCGTGAGGTACGGCGAGACGGCTCTCTGACAGGAGTGACAGGTTGTATGTTGACGCGTCCATATTTTACACTGATTTACATCCTAAAACTCAAAGATTTCTAATTGATCCTGAAGCTTCGATGATCGACAGCTTTTGATGAGTGAGCTTTGATTAACTGAGAGTCCGCACCGGGCGGCTCTGGTGATTTTGACGAGCGCATTTCACTTTCATTGTTATGAACTACTGTTTCTCCACTAATTGCTCGTTCTTGCCCTGTTTTGGCGAACATAAATCATTTCAGATCAACGTGGTTATTAGGGACTAGAAAGTTTTGCTCTAAAAGTTCCATTGACGTCTCGATGTTCAGTGCTTTGCCCTTTACATGAAAAAGAAGGCTCAATCGCTATTCTCACTCTTTATCGAAAGCGAGGGAATTTGGAAGCTTGAACCTGCAGCATATCGCACCGAAATCTTCATAGTTTATTCCAGCTTTGCTGCCGTGCTAGTGATGTGCACTTAGTGTCGCTTAGCCGAATGTTTAAGCCTATAAACCAACAGAATAAGAAGAAGAAATATCAGGTTATAACAAAAGTAACGAATATTTTTCCTTGACATTTTTGCAAAATATTCTGTATTAAATTCCTATTACAATTCTCTGAAAAATTGAACAAAAAAAAAAAATTGCAAGTATTTCTGAAAATTCTACTTTTATTAAAGGATATTTTGCCAAGTCTCAGAGCTCAAACATCATTCTTCCTCAGGAAATTATTGCTGATGGAAATGAAAACGGGGAAGGACGAGGTACTGGAATTTTTTACCAGGTGCAAAATTTTGGTTCATCAAATCTCAGTAGAGGTCGCGAGCTTTCAAAGTTGATCGAACCCTTTTCCCGTAATATCCGAATTCATTTTCCCTCGCAAGGAGACCTCAACGTTAATGATGGAAGAGAATTACTTAAAAGTAAGAAAATACAACAGATTTGCACGATTAACGAATCAAAGGAGCAGTAACAATTCCAGCAAGTTGGCAACTATGTTAATAATCCTTTTAAATCCATGGAATATATCGATGCTAGGCGAGACATAGGCTGCCTCACCTAGAATCGATTGTTTGACTGACGTACATTTAAATGGAGAAAAAACGGCGTTGCCAACTTACAAGAATCGCCACTGCAAAGAAAACGACAAGGGAAAGAGTGCGTGAGTGGACTGATCAGTGCAAATCTCGAGGGCAGATTTTTATTAGCCGTCCATGCATCAGCGAGAATGTCTCGTAGCCCATGATCACAATCCTGTCGTGCTAAGGAAAAACGCCGTATGAACCTTCAGGCGTTGCCAAATTTCCTTTGATAAAACACGGATTTCCTGGTAAACTTAAGAATATTTTCCTTCCATTTTTTCCTATAATTTTGTTCGCAATTTCAGCTGAAGTCCCTGAAAATCTCAAGGAAGAATATTCATAACTTTCCACAAAAATAAACTTTTTAGCGAAGGAAATTTGGCAACTCCCGAATGTTCATACTGCGTTCTTCCTTAGCACGGCACAATCAGGGTAACGTCGAACGATCATAATTTTTCACAAGCCCGTAAAAGGTTTCAAGCTGTCCTGCCATAAAGAGAACCGGCCGATTTGGCCTAGAATGGTAATCCACGGCTGCTAACTTCACTTGTCGGTTAGTTGGTTACACAACCCCATTCAGTGGATCATCCCACCACCCTTCGTCACTCCCTTACACTGAAAGAAAAAATCTCGGTGTACTTACTAAGAAAAGGGTAAAATTACCAAGAATTTAGGGTTCTATTTGATCCCAGTTTTTTCTTGGTAAAATTACCATTTATGGAATTGGTAATTTTACCAAGAAATCTCGGTAAAATTATCGAACTTTCTCGGTAATTTTACTGGACCTTGGTAAAAACGCCAATATTTTTTATCGACTGTGGTAGAATTACCGAGATAAAATGGCAAAGTTACTGGGAATTGATTACCAATAAAAGTGGTATTCTTACCTGAAAAAAACGTTAAAAATACCGTTTTTTAGGTAAGCTTATCAGTCCGTCTTGGTAAAATTACCAATAACTGGTAAAAAAAGTGAGGTGGTAAAGGTACCAACGGACCTTGGTAAAAACGCCGAGAATTTTTTTTCAGTTTATCACACGCTCCTACCCGTTGCCTAAATTCGCAAGTACTTCTTAATCAATGTAATATCGTCACCTCCTAGCCAAAGTATCACAGGCGCCTCGCGACTTTTCAAAATTTCCGCCGCCATTTTACTTGTTTACAGATAAATTGGACGTATTTCTATCAAACGGACCTAAGCGCCATAGGGTGAGGAAGGTAGAGGGGGGCTTGGATCGGCGGCGGAATCGGGCGTCCGGCTTATTCCGTCCTATACTCGCAATGCTTTTTCGTGGCGCTTAGGTCCGTTTGACAGAACGCGCTATCCGGGATTCTACATATAAATTCCTCAAAAGGAACTCAAAATTGGCGCTTAGTTCCGTTTGATAGAAATAAGTCCAGTTGATCAATGAAACTGTCCGAAAATTTCACGGAATTTTCTTTGCGCTGCCGACAAAATCCAGTGAAATTTTCAAACAGGTTCAACCAAAAGTTTCTCTGTAAAACCCTTAAAACTTTAAATGTGACGGATCAAACATCATTTGCAGTTTTAGTAAAAAAATTCATTTTCGACCTCACTGATTGACTCGATCCGCTGTGCGTTGCACGGCGCTTGCGATACTTTGGCTGGAAGGTGACGATCAAGACGGTGTAATAGGGTTCTTCACCGGTGACATCTTCTGCACATTCCGTTGTTTCGCTGACAAAAGGGCGTAACTACACTGAGAGATGAGCCCGGGAAAGAATTGCCAGTTATGGACGACAAGGTTCATCGAGAAGTGTAGTTACGTCCTGATGCCAAAAGGGCGAAGATTCGTGTGTGCGAATAACTCTCTTTCCCAAGAGGTGTATTTTTTTTTTTTTTTTTTTTTTTTTTTTTTTTTTTTTTTTTTTTTTTTTTTTTTTTGTTATTAATTACTGCCCATGCGCCATAAAGATTTGAATAGAGAAATCGAGCTGGTATGAAATTTGCCAGACAATGTTACACCACGAGTTAAGAATTGTGGACAGCGCGAGATACATGCAAATCTGCAAACGACAATATTGCTGCTCGCGGGATGTTTTGTAGCCTACCTTGATAATTGAAGGCGAAATAATATGATTTGTATCCTTGAAATTTGTGTTCCTGCTTCTTCCAAATACCTACTCAGGCAGAACCCACAAGACGTCAATGACTTTAGCGGATGGAAGTAGTTTTTAAAGAAGCTATTCTAGCCGAATTAGTTCAAAACTTAGAATTCGAATTTCTGACGAAAAATAACATATACTATTCTTAAGAATAAGTTCTAGGAAGTCATAGGTCTCTTTTTTTCAAAAGAGTAAGCGTGTAAAGTGAATTTTAACTCCATGTTTTAGGCGCGAAAAATTTTGCGTTGGTCTTAAATATTTTGAAAGAAGGAGAAGGTAAAATATTTGTCAATCTCGGAACGTTGTTTAAAGTAAACTTAGTGAGAGGGAGAAATACATAGATTGAGGTTTTTTATTCCCAACCTGGCAACACTAGTCCATGTACGTATTCCACCAGCACTGAAAAAGAGATCAGAGGGAAGAGTTCATAGGTAAACCATTGTTACCTCAAGAGACGCTCCGAAATACAGAGATTCTAACTGGATCCAGACTTTGTCTACACTCTTTTATAGACACCCTGTGGAATCATTACTGAGATGCCACAAACAGAATCAGCACGTCTGACAGTTCAAGGAGAACACTTGGGGCTGGAAGGAATCAGGCTGACAGGATTCCGTGGCGATAAAATTATTCAAGCTCACTAGACTTCGTCGTTTCCTCCACGAAAAAACGTAACTCCATTCCAATGTTGCCAGATTTTCCCTCGCAAATTGCCTTTTTATCATGATAATTCTGGATTTTTCGGACTGAAAATTTGACCGATTTTTCTTCAGATCTTGCGCAAAAATCCGAAAAATTTTGGACAAAGATTGCACAGGTACATTCTTGAAAAAAATCGAATCGTTGTAGTCAATTTTGCAACCTTGGAAGAGCGTTACGTTCCTTCATCCGTTAGACGACGACTTCAGAACGTTTGTCGGAGGCCTCTAATTCAACCTTATAACAAAAAGTTATTGCGCTCGTATTATTTTTTGCCGTCGAGTGGCTCATTTCATCTAACGTGCAGATATTTTTATTCACGTTGATGAGAGGGAATATTGCAAATTAACTGTCAGAGCCGTAATTTCTATCCGTCCTTGGACAATCTCTCTGAAGACTTTCTGAGTTTGAAGCATCTCCTTTCGCATTGTCGAGACGAAAGCTGCACAACGTTTTATAGAAGATTCTCTCCAATGAATGTTATTTTTATCTTTATCCCTTTAATAATCTTGTGTTTTTTAGTGCACAAAATTTCATTTCTGCATGCTCCTTCATTTATGACTAAACACCTTGTTCTTTATTTTTTTTACAGAGGGAACTCCCATAAATCATGTGAATCACGAGAAGGAAGAGGGGAAGGTAAGCATCTTTACATCTATCTTTTTCATAATTTTTCAGCGGGTTTTATATCATTAACGCGGAAGGCCTCAATGCCACGTGAGGTCACTCACAAATGAAAATGAGTTACAAGATTTTACAACTTTTAAGCCTCGCCTCCGAATTCCTACTTACGAAATCACGAAGATGTTGTTAAAAAAAAGTTGTTAGCCAGAACTCAAAAAGTCCGCCTCGGAGAATGAGAATTCTTCTTTTTTTTCAAATCGTCACAGAATTTTGAATTTTTCATGACGGAAGGCGTGCCTCCGCGTATTTTTCTGGTTTTAAGTCCTATTATCAATTCAAGTATCTCTTAACAATTCAAGCATTGTTCTTAATGTTGTATAGGTTCATTTATACATGGTTACTCGAGCTAGTGAAAATTAATGATCGAATCTGATAAAGGAATTTCACGAACGAGTCATTTTGTTTAAAACAGTAGCGAAATATTTATTTTTAAAAATGAGTATGAGACATAGATCCTATTTTTGAGAAGTAATCATAACTCATCAAATTATTCACGATGAAATCATTTTCAGCCTGTCAACTCGATTTTCAGCACGGGTGGATTATTAATGTTTTTGATGTTTTATTGTGTCCGTTTTATTTTCCATCGCCGTTTCCTTCATCAAACCTGACCAATGACCATACGACCGGTCCAATATTACTCTCCACGGGAGGTTCTTGGTATCCCGGTGAATCGTTCCGCATAGAAATGACGTCATGGAACTAAAGCAAACTAAGTTGAGTCACTCTTTCATACGTCACATACGAAAGGTGGCACAATGTTTTGCAAAAGGTACCGTCGAGTCACCCTGATATTTGTACTGATGACATCCAAACAGAGAATGAGAGATGCTAGCCTCCGGAAAATATCCGCATTGACAGATTCTAGTGGCAGTTAGGCGCGTCGTAGAGCGCCTTAGTGAGCTGTAAAAGCGACTAATTAATCCATACCATTTCATCCAATTATTAGGTCTGAATCGCTTCCTTTTTTCACGGAGAAAAATATTAGGGGTTATCCCCTAAAATTGTGGCACCACCCCAATTTGTCGAATGGTACTGGTATGGGTATGTACAATCAAGGGGCTTGGAGGAGAAGGCGTATGAGGGCTGTTTTTGCTATTTCGAGATCTACGTGTCTGAAATTCGAAATTACTCGGATTCTTGTGGCGGAAAGAAAGTTCAAACTGACTTTTGGATGCTTAAAAATTGGATTTTGGGAGCGAATTTCTCACAGAATGTGCATTAAGACTAGTTTTACTTGAAATCATGAATATTTCAATTTTTTCAAAAGCTACACTCATGCGCCTTGTCCTCCAGGCCCCTCAATTGATTGTGGTAGTATCGCAACGTTTGAGTTGGTAACCTAATCTATTGGAGTACTACCGCAATTAATTGAAAATGCCCGTATCATCTAACAGCCCTTACCTCTTTATTTCCGCGTATCCATGAATGTAACTAATTTATAGGAGTACGTAACACTCGCAATTTATTCCTATATGAAGCATAAAGGAAACCACCTCTATTCTTCGTTTAAATTGTTTGAATATTCACTTGGTCGCAGCCTGTAATTCCTGTAAAAGCTGGATATTATTCTCTGCGTGGTTGCCCCTGCGGGCTGATTATTGAAATCGATAGACAAAGAAGACAAACTGAAAATAAAGCGATCCTACTGATGGAATCGGGTGGTTGCAATAGACAAAGGCGGTAAGTGATAGACTAACTAACGGCAACCCAATAGAGACCTCCTACTTAGTCCATCATTTACCCCCTTAGTCTATAATAATCACCCGTTTCCACCAACAGGATTGCTCTATGTCCCCCATAGGCGGTTCTAGACCTTCATGTTTAGGGGTGCCCAGAGGTGGAAAATGTCGGAGACCGGCCCCAAAGGGGACGGTCGCTCAGGGGAGGCCTAATTTCCGGCCCTCAAGTTTTATCCCATTCCTACCCTCCTTTCTCTTTTTCTCTCCTTTCTTTCTACTTAAATACTTATAAATTCAACGTAGAAAATTTTTAGCAAAACTTTTCACCGAAACTGCATTCTTACCATAAAAAAAAAAACAGTATAATCTTTGTAAAACACGGCTATCAATATTAATTCTGTTTAAAACATTTTCAATTAATTGCTGGGATTTTTTTCAGTGTGAGCGAATACAGAATCTTTAAAAGCAGTAATTTGGTCTTTTTTAGATCAATTTTCAGATTTTAAAAATTCATGAAATAAAAATATTGCCAATTTTTTACGCTTCATAATACGATTTTTCCTTGACGTGTTTACTCGCCCAAAAGCCTCTTTCACGGTTCCGGTAACCGTACTTAATTTTTGCTTGGGGGTGCCCGGCACCCACTGGCACCCCCGTAGAACCGACTATGCATTATGTCTTCTGTGTCTGCCAATTTCAATAATCAGCCCGCTGATGGGATGGAAGGCTTACACCTCTATCACGGGTGTCAGCCGCACAGATGGACGGACAGGTTAGGACTCGGGCGAGGTTTAGGCGAGGATTATCGTCCATTCTTCTTGGCTCTCCGGACGTGACTGCCGAAGGTGTCGGATCCGCGCTACCATACTCGATCGTCGGTGGAATCAGGTGCATGAGTCATGAGTCACCAAAGCCGATCGGAGGGAGCAGGAGGCAGAAGGGCCGAGCCCCGCCGATGCACCAGGGATCAGCGGATAAGGCAAACTGTGCCCAAGGAGGAACAATAGAAGGTCAAAACATGAGTTGATACGCTGGATTTACCCGCGATGTTGCGAGGCGGGTGAGATATGTCAGGATTCGTTACACGTGTTATGTGCGCGCGGTTGACAAGTGTATGCCCACTCCGATGAGCATAAGCCTCCACTTGAAAAAAACACATTGGATCTAGAGTCCAGACTCTTGAAAACATTGACAAGAAAAAGGACTCTTGATTCAAGCAGATTTAAGCTCAAATCGAAAGGAAATCCGCTCAAATTAAGAGGCTCGGTTCTTGATTTAAGCTTAAATCTGATTGAATCGAGAGTATTTTTTCACGTCGATGTTTTTAAGAGTCTGGACTCTAGATCCAATGTGTTTTTTTCCAGTGTCGGTTTTTTCGGTGGATTTTCAGAATTTTGAAGAACGAGTCAATACTTGATCATACAATCTATAATCCCTGGATTTTCGGACATCGAATGTCTTGAAGAGGGCTTCGGGCTATTTTGAAAAAGTCGATTGTACCTGAATCGATTAAAATGTAAAAATTCATTGTTCTGAATGTCAATTCGAACAAATGGACCAATTTTTACCGCCACCAGAAACGCCAAGTTTCATTTAGCCGATGAAGGAAAGTCCAATTCCTATAAATTCCGACGATTTTTTAGGGGTAAAAAAATCATCACAAGACAAACGAGAAAAATGTCGATCACCGAGGTCCATTTCACCAGCCCCCCCACTTCCACAAAATAATATGAAAAATATGCCATCGTTTTGTAAGTGTTTTGTAACGTTTTGTAAGTCTAAAAAAAAATTTTGTAAGTCACTCCAAATGGTTCAAATGGATAATTTCATTTTGGGGGGGCTGGAGAAATGGTATCCCCCCCACTTCGCGATCGATAAATTCTGACAACGCCAACGTTTTGTAAGTGTTTTGTAACGTTTTGTAAGTCCAAAAGAAAATTTTGTAACTAAATTTTTAGGGGGGATACGGCTACCCAAAATTTTGGGGCCAGCCCCCCCACTTCGCGATCGATAAATTCTGACAACGCCAACGTTTTGTAACGTTTTGTAAGTCCAAAAGAAAATTTTGTAACTCAATTTTTAGGGGGGATACGGCTACCCAAAATTTTGGGGCCAGCCCCCCCACTTCGCGATCGATAAATTCTGACAACGCCAACGTTTTGTAAGTGTTTTGTAACGTTTTGTAAGTCCAAAAGAAAATTTTGTAACTCAATTTTTAGGGGGGATACGGCTCCACAAAATTTTGGGGCCAGCCCCCCCACTTGGCGATCGATAAATTCCGATAACGCCAATGTTTCGTAAGTGTTTTGTAACGTTTTGTAAGTCCAAAAATAAATTTTGTAACTCAATTTTTAGGGGGGATACGGCTACCCAAAATTATCAGGGTCAATCGCACCGTTCAAATATCCCGCGCAAAGACCACCGGATCTCGCCCGGATCTTTCCCGCCTCCGTGCCATGTTGCCGCAAGACCGTTTCAGTGGGACAGAGATAAATCGTGTTCCTACGCTGCTTAGGGTTACATTAGGTCAGGTTATAGATTTTCTTCCCCGATTTTTGTTCTCGCTGTTTTAAGAGAAGCGTATATTATTCAGCTAAAATTAAGAGGGGTCAGGTTGTTTACATTTCATGGGCACTTGAAAATCCGGTTGTTTCGCTTTAGACAGGAGATGGACCAATGAACATGGTCTGCATTAAATAATTAACGGCACTTATTTTCTCTTCAAAATTTATTGTAAAAAATGATGCACACAACGAAAGGTTCGGAAAGCAACCGCTGAACGGGATACTCTTTAGTTTTTTAAGTCAAATCAGATGACGGTTCAACGGCACAAATGATGTCCTTTATATTTTTTCCCTGAAAATAATGTTAACTGTGAGCACTTATTTCTTCTTCAGTTGCTCATTTCTGGACTCCAAGTCGTGCGATTCGTTTTATACTTGAAATTTTGAAGTTGGAACGCGTTGCGTGGTGTTTCAATTTATACCGTGTATAGTGGTCTATTGTTTGACGGATCCGGGTCAGGGTTAGGTTTCCTTAACATTTTTTGAGGGTAGGTCGGTAGCTTCCTCCCAAGAGAAGAAAACCAAATATTTAATTATAACCAATTTATACCGTGTGTAGAGGTCTATTGTTTGACGGATCCCGATTCGCTCAAATATTGAAAGGTAGAAATTGCTGGGTATATGACCCCCCAAAAGTTTGGACACCTACCCTCTCCTCAACTTTAAAACTGATAAATATTGACGAGCAATATTCTTCTAAGTGTAGCTC